TTATCTGCTGGCTTCACACCTGGGTATGGTTTGCATAGCATGAAAGCAAAATGCCTAAGGCTTCGACCTCTAAAAAAAAGTACCTGAAGTCCCCATAAAAGAGATATATTTGAGACAAAACTGCTATCTAGGGATTTGCTACTGAAGGGTTCCCAAAGGAAAAGGGCTTAGCAGCATTTCTGTAACTCAATTTTAAGTTTTCTTCATGTCTTCTCTTTGCATACTAAATGCTCCCTCACCCCCACTTAGTTTAATAACAAAACAATTCATAATATAGAAGCATCTTCCATTTGTAGTTGCAGATATTTCCCTTTAAATTGCTTGAGTGGAAATTATGATAGAAATCTTGAGCTCTATTCTTCAAGTTGCATATTTGTATTTTAAATAATACTTATACTAAGAGATTTATCATCTGATGGCTAAAAATACATGAGGCTGCTCAGAGATTCACATCCATTTGCAAGCAGAGGTGTGATAGCTCTACAGTGAATTAATTCAGTAATTAATTCACAAACCTTCCCTTATAGAAATCTGAAGATTTCAATATAATGGGGGCTCTGTCCCCACCCCAGGCAGGGGAGTGTCCCCTTCCATGAACCTCCTGAAGCCTAAGGGGGAGAGACTTTGCCCAAAGGACCCACAATTAAACAGAGCTTGGCAACAACACTGCTCTTTCTGAAAGGTCTAAACGCATCTATTTATACCATGAGAAGTCAGTGAGTTCCTCTGAAGGTGTCTGTGTCTATTTCTGACCAGAAGAGCTTGCATTAGTTTCCAAATTACTGTACTGTCAGTTCATCTCGTCATCTGCTCTGTGCAGTTAAGCTGTAAGGACACATGATGATATTGGTCACTGTGTGCATGAGGCTCTTTTCTCTGTACATACCATGTCTGTACACCAACCTCTTCATCAGCACACTTATAAACCTGCCTTCATTTTGGCTACCTCCAGCCACTCCAAGTTATATACTGCCTGCTAAAATTCAAGCACTAACTATTTTACTTTAAGAACATTCTACTGAAATCGTTTTAAGCCTAACAGTTTTACTTGCTGGTTTGAGGTTTGCAGATCATTCTAGTCCCCGTTAAATAACGACCACCCTCAGGCATGACACTTCTGCCACGAATAGCCAAACATTTGTATCATTTTACCATGCTGGAAAATAGCAGCTTTCACTCCATAGAGACTCCAAGAAAAATACAGGAACCACGTTTCTCAAAGTTTAACGTAATGAGCCCAACACTACCGAGCACTGTATAAAGGGCATTTACCTTGCTCCAGGACTCCCAAAACCGTGATGGTGGCCAGCTGGTCTATCTGATCCCTCATGGTGCTGACTGGAGCAAACCCCAGCCAGGTGTGATGGGTACAGCTGCACCCCAAACCTCTCTCCCACCTCCCAATACCACACACTTCAACAGAACTGAGTTATTCCCCTGAACACAGGTGTTTCCTCCACCACACCTCAACTCACCTTAACTCTCTCCACACCACAGGGTTTTCCAAAGCAGGCAGCCACCAGAAAATGTCTATTCCAGCCAATGATGGAACAGCAAAAACCTTTGCATGGGCAAACTGTGAAATTCTTGTAATTATATTTACAGATTTTACATGACGATTGAATTATATGTTGCCAGCAATGGGAAAGATGATGGAATTCTTTCCAGCCCTTTTGTTGCTGGTTTTAATGAGCTCTGAAGCATCTCAATTATGTGAGAGGTTGTAAAAATTATTAACAAGCATTTGAAAATTAATGACTTGACCTTCTGTTCTTATTCCAAGCAGTGGAGTTGACCACGTTCAAGATTTGCTGCACTCCAGCTGGAATAAGTTAATTCTGCTACTGGGTTCTGTAACTTTGAAAAGAGCATTCAGGTATTTTATGCTACTAATTACTGCTCTAAGGTTACCAAATAAGAATAAAGTTCTTTTCTAGCACTCACTCACCTTTTGCAGTTTTCTGATGTTTTTAAGATTCTGCAGTACAAATCTTTTCCTGGCTATCATACAAAATAAAAGTTATCAGTTCCAAATGGAAGGCAGCAGAGGATGTAGAAATAGACCCTCAAAAATGTTACACTGACATCAGAATTGTAAAACATAAAATTTGAAAACCAGCAATATTTTAGCACTGAGTAACTTCTTTCCCCACTCCACAAAAGTAAAATATGTATCAGTTCAAAACATTATCTTGTGTTTTGGAGCAATTTCATATGGATGACTACTTTGGCTTTAAAACTTGTAAAATCAACTAAGGCTTTCTGTTCATTTTGAAGAGAGGGCACAGGACATGGCTGAGCCACTGCATTTTTCTCTGTTCAGTCACATACACAAACCCTCAGTGCAGAATTTATGCACATACCAGACCTATCGTTTCTCTTGGGTGGGACAAAGCAAGTTTTTTGTTCTGGTTTGGCTCTTCATCGCCTCAAAACCCCACTGTGACAGCTCATCAAGTTGAAAACTTGTTAATGAATTCAAATATCCAGTGTTACACTTTTTGTGAATAACCACACATGTAAAAAAGCAAAACCACTCCCTTTCTCTATAAAACACTCATATGATGTGACTTCAGACTACCAGACTCAGACTGAAACAGAACAATTAACCTTAACTGAACCTATTGGTGACCCAAGATTTCACCTGGGGTGTCCAGGATAAGTTCAGAGGGGAAATGTCACCAGGAGTTCTGTTTCTGCTTATGCCAGTTCAACAAGCAATTCAGGCTTGAGAAAACACTTCCATTACAGAATTATTACATTAGTCTCAGGAAAAACACCAGCATCGAGGAAAAAACATCAAATCAGTTTCTGAGTTGGTCACGAGCTGCCACTGACTCCTTAAAATCTTTGGAAAAACACACACGTCACTTCAGTGGGGATTGCTTGGGACATTCCTGGTTTACTCAACAATAACTGAAATGCAGCATTTTTAATGGGACAATAAAGTTAATTAAGCAGTAACTTCACAGTTCCCCACAGGTTAAAATCAGCTGATCCTGGTACTGTTACTTATTACGACATTTGGTTCTTTATAAGCTTATGAAGTTATAGGTCTCCTCCTCCCTCCAAACATAACACAAAACTTTGTGGAGCAGGAATATATTAAAAAATACACTCTGGTAAGTCAGGGTGCTGTGAGGAAACCTGAAGGCTCCGAGCTGGGGCTGCAAACACAACACCTGCACAGTAAGACACCAACTTCAACACCTGGGGAATGATCCTTCAATTCTGAAGCCGTGCAGTGGCTCAGGGACTTTTCCAGCTTCAAGCCACAATCTTCACACACATTTCTGCCAGTATTTCATTCCTTGTTCAGAAACATCAACTCATGCCTGCAGAATGTGAGTCCCTGTCTCAGCTGGATTTCTGTGTGTGCCATCTGCCTACATCAAACAAGGCTTGAGGAAACCAGTTTGAACCTCAAAGGCCTGTTATTCTGAGGGAATTGGCGTATTTTTGGAACTCTACCATTTTGCACATGTGAGGTCTCAGTAGTTATTAACATCTTTTTCACCAACCACCTCTGCAGTCGAATTTCCCAGCTTAAGGTCTACAATTGCATTCCAGAAAAAAAAAAAGCCCGGAAGCAGTGGGTGCAGCATAAAGCCTTATTTTCAAACTAAAGTTTTCTAAGGCCCCTTTATCCAGTTCTGGCCTGTTTAAATGGACTTTCTGAAACTGTAAGAATTGGTAAGACACAGCAGCAGAATTTGAGCTGAGCAAAACTGTGAGTTGAGAAATGAAGGGAAGGAACCATCTCACTAGGAATGAAAATGCTGAACTCTGCTCAGCTCACACAAATGTATAAAGTCACACCATGTATGTTTAATACACTAGCAAAATATTTATTTTATAATGATAAAACAGAAGTGAAGGATTTCTTTTTGGTGTGCACCAGTAATTGTAGTAAAAGAATAAGGGGATTAATGGACTCTTTATACATTTCAATGACAAAAAATTCATAAAGGTTAGCATCAAATTCAACTGTTCTCCATTTACAAGCATAAAACTTACCATAATACCCCCCAAAACACATATATAAAGAATTATAGTTTTAAAATCTATAAAAAGTAAAAAATATACAGTCAGAAGATCTAACTCTTATTCAAATCTTTAATATAAAATTGTAAACATTTATTTACACAAAGGAAATGTGTATAACAAAATTTTGAGCACCCTTTTCAATCGTATGGTGGTTTTTGGAAGGCAGTGGATGTTGCACAGTGACACTCTCACCTTGCCTGCCCAACCAAAACCGCAGTTTATAAATAAAGCCATGGGCGGCCGGCTGGGTTCAGTTCAGGGGAGACACATTTTATTGCTCTGAAGCTGCAGCAAATGGAAAGCCCAAGTGCATTTACAGACTTGTTACAGGGCATGAGGGCAGAGCCCAGCCCTTCCCATGCACCTGTGCACATCAAAACCGTATTTTCATTTCCATTGAACTGTTCCAACCTTGTTACAGTGACACCGTATTCCCAACGGTCCGACTGCGTTATGTGGACAGGGACCAAGGCCAGAAGCCAGGGCTGTTTGGATCCTGTTCACACATGGAGACCAATGGGCATTATAAGCCAGTTTTCCTTGAATCACACTTTTAATTTTACTCCAACAGTACCATGAAAAGGCCCTGTCATCAAATCCAGATACCTTCCTGAACAAACCCTCTGGTCAAGCAGGGCAATATCCACCTTAGCTTCCAGAAACAGTGAAGGAAAGAGCACATCTGCATTTTCCTGGACATTTAGCTGGATTGCCTTTTTGGTAGTAACAATGCAAACAGCAGATGTTCTTTTTCTCCACTTAAGAAATCACAACTGGATGGATTGTATTTTGACTTATTCCGAACAAAGCCTGTGTGCAAAATCTACCACAAAACAGAGCAGATTTCACCACAACCTAAACAGGGAAGAAAGAAAAGCTGAATCCTACTACCCTGTTATTTCTGTCAAGTGTTTGTAAGGGGGAGAGAAAACTAGTGACACTGAAGGATGTCACTTGAAATTGAGGTCCCAAGCACCCCCGACAGGAAGGGAAGGCACACTGGTGCAAAGTTAACCCTTAAAAATAAAAATACAGCAAACACTCCTTCCCCTGCCATTGCTAGTTTATATCTATAATCTTCTAATGACACTTACCTTGGACCAGGTTTTGGTTCAACTTAAAAGTAAACCAAGATCACTAGCTCTTTTCTTAGATTGCCAGTATAAGAAGAGTTAGCATCAGTTATTTGCATCTCAACTACTTAATTCTAGAAAATATCAGAAGTGTCAACAAGCAAAGTCACCAACACCTCTGTCTTCCCATCCAAAGAGAATCTTTATGTTACCTTTTCAAAAGCTCTAGGAGGGATTAAGCCTGCTTCAGGGAAGTTTTATCCACTATTGAACGGTGGGATCCACTGATCAATGCACATCTTTCACCAACAGTTCAACATGATACAACAGCAAATCTGATCAACAGAGCAGAATTCATCCACACTAGGTAAGTGTGCTGCACAAACCATGTTCCATGCATATTTGGAAAGGGTTAAAGTATTAGTGTTAAAAAAGCAGTTTTTAAAAGTGCAAATTGTCTCATAAAGGAGCTGCAGATACAGTAAAATATTTTCCTTCTTTGAAACCAATGATATCTTTCACTTCCCTTCACACCCTCTGGAAAAACCCTCTCTCACACAATTCTGCAGTGCAGAAAACTCCTGAAGAAGCCAGTCTATGTTGAAGGAAATTGCTTTAAAATCACAACGCTGGGTTTGGTTAGAAAGTTTAAAGGAGCTTTCCAAGAAAGTAGATTTAGAAAGGGAAGAGGTATTTGTGCATTTCAAACAAAAGCTTTCAACTTTATTTTCTTTTTAAAATAAAGGTTAAGGCAAGGTGGTTTGTTGGTGGATAAGGGATTTTTTTGGTAGAGAGTAAGGACTTGGAACACTGACTGTTCCCATTGTGTTTTGTCCTTTCTGGGACCAATCCCAACATATGGATAAGAGATCCCCTTGGGCTGAGCTGAAGAACCAGCATCTGCTTCAAGGGATATTAAAGAAGTAAATCCACCAGACTATAGAAAGATTATCAAACTCGTAACCCAGTATTAAAAAACCAAAGTATTTAAAGGGGGAGACTTCCATATTGGAGCAACCCTGATACAACTATTCTCCCAGGCTGCCTGTGCTATTATTGCTCATAAGGACTTTCCACCTCCCAGTCAAACTCTTTTTTCCTCATTTTTATCCTGAAGTGACAAAGTCTTGTGCTCATTACTAACTCATTGCTAACTTCGGGGAATGAAGTGATCTCAAAAGTTAGTTTTACCTTTTACAACAAAGAAAACTAGATGAGCTGTCATGAAGCAAAGCCTTCATTTAAATACAACTACCTTTGGAAATAAGTTATGAAGAAACAGGTGCAAAGTAAATGGCTTTACAATTCACGTTAAACCTACTATAGTTTAAAAGTTCTCCCATGAGAAATTCCCCCTTTAAACACATCAAGGTACAAGCCAAGAACTGTGCCTCTCTACAACAGAGTGCAAACTGCAGCTTAAAAGACTACAATCTATGAAGGAAGATGACTGTCTAGACTAACTGGTCAGGTTTTAATACTTCCTCTCATCTATTACCAGCATCTAGATATATTTACTGTGAAATACCACTTGCTTACTGAGAGTACAGGCACATGCTTCAGCAATGGGGAAAAGAAACAAGTCCAAACATTTTGCAAGCGTGCTCAGGTGCATAACAGCCTCTTCTCAAATAAAAAGTCAGAAGTTGGATGGACAGTACTATAACAACATGTCAAGCTACAAACAAATAATTATTGCAAGTAATAGCTGCAGACTAAGCCCTAAACACAATTTGTGCAACTATTTGCTTTCTTTCTGCACTATTTCTGTGGAATTTTTGTTTTATTTTTTAAATAATTAAAAAATTTAGTCTTAGAACACTGCAAGTGAGATTTCTGGAAGGCTGGCTAGGACACAGTATTTTTTTGACCTGTTCAAGTGTGCGACTCCTCAGAGACCCCAGATAACGTGCACTCCTCCCGCAGACCCGCTTGGTGCACCGTGACCATGTGTCAACACTCATTGAGAAGCAGCTCCAGTCTTTTTCCCAACCATTTTACCTCTAATGCCTGCAAGTCTCCTCAATGCCACAGGTTTGTTTTTTTTTTTTTTGGTCCAAGTGTTGTTTATATGTCATGAAATAATTAAAAAAAGTAGAACCCCCACCCCCGGCCCCATTTTAATGAGTTCCTAACAACTCATCCAAATCGTTCATCCACTCCTCTGAAGTCCTGTTTTTCAGCAAAGAGTCTATCAGGTCTGTGTCACCAGTTAAGTTCTGAAGTCCGTTATTGCCCGACTGGCCGCTGTAGGAGAAAGGCAGCTCCTGACTGGTTGTCCTCACAGGGTACCCTTGGCTACAGTGCAGGTTTCCTCTGTTGGGCATTTGCTGATTTGGATTCTGGTTGAAAGCATTCAGGTCTGGAACAGTCTGGTTCATGCCAGGCAGCACTTGCTGTGAGGGTACCTGCTGCTGTGTAGGTGGGTTTGTCCGGGGCTGTGCACCTAAAGATGATGACAACATCTGCCCAGAGACGGCAGCGTTCATCGAGGTCATGGGTCTGCTGGTGCTTAGGCTTACCTGAGGCATTCCCTGGGCAAACTGTTGGTTGGACATCTTTAGATGAGTCTGCTGCATGTGGAAAGAGGAGTTGGCAGTAAATGGTCCTAAGCCACTGTTTGCTTGTGTCTGGTTGTTAATATTAGGGATACCTTGGTGTTGCCAAGATGGATTTTGAGCCCCCATAGCAGCTGGTACTCTTGCCATCTGTGGCTTAGATAAGGTTGGATTCAGTGCACCTTTATTGTGCTGCTGAGAAATACTTGAGTTTGCTAAGGTGTTCTGCCCATAGCCAGCAGGAACAGCAGTGCCCTGGCCCAAGCTGCCCTGCCTCTGCATCGGAGTCTGTCCATTGGCACTTGGAGCTGTGTGCTGGGGAACCATCTGTGTCATTCCAGACGCCAGGTTGTACAATCCCCCGCGCTGAATGTTTTGCATATTGGGATACTGAGTCACCCCCCGGTCCTGCTGACTGGAGCCCGACTGGAGTGGAGGAACAGGAGTGTGTCCAGGTCCCATCTGAATCATGTTCTGGGTCTGAGGAAACATCCGTGGGCTACTGGAGCTGGACTGTCCTAAATTACTGACCCCAGGTATGGCTGAAGATGACCCTGAAATACAAAGAAGTATTTTGTACATTAAATACCTTGGTCCAACCAGAGCCAAGCCAGGCTTGTAGGCACAATAACCCAGAATGGAGGTGTAGCTGCATTTGTATAAACCAACCTCTGCAACCAGCACAGAGGCAGCAGGAGTTTAATTAAAGAGTGTCAACTGTTGCTCCAGTTAGCACCTCCACCTTGATCTCAAACACAGATATGCCAATGTCCTAAAAAAATCTGAATACCACTTCTAAGAGCTCAGCATCATCGATTTAAAAAAAAATTAAGACTTTAAAGGCAGGACTCTGATATTTCTTTGTGAACAAAGGTAAACACACATACTTTGAAGTGCATGCACAATTTGCTAAGCTGTTAAAAATACCACTTACTGCACACAGTCAGTCATTCCATGCATACACTGTGTATCTCTTATCGTACACCTGTAGGGTTGCCAGTCCTCCATTTTCCCTATTCCAGGAATTTCTTCTATTTATATAATTCAGCTTTCAGAAATTTTTGGTCAGGTATCTTTTGGATTTCCACAGCGAAATATTTGCTATGTTAATACACAGTGCTGATAACCAAGCAAGGTGATTTGCAAAAAATGTATTCTCAGCAAAACAAAAAAAAGTCCCCTGTTCTCGTAAATCCTGAGTTTAGAAGTTTCTTCCTGTGGAAGAAACAGCCCCCCCTACTTGAAGCAAAAAAAGCAGACCAGCACTGTGAAGTGTAATGCATATAACACCCCTCCCACTCCTTACAGTCGACCAAGGGAAATCTACCTGCATTAGTACTTTCTCTACTTTCAAACCAAAAAGTAAGCTGCAGAATTTTTGCATATTTTAAGACAGCTGAGGAGTATTGGGTTTCCATTATTACAAACATTATATTTGAATAAAAACTGAATTATCAAAAATTCAAATATAATTCAAATTATATTGAATTAATTATCAGCACAGCACATCATAAAAACACCAGTGTTGGGGGTTGGATGAGTGGAGGAAGAGTCTCACTGTAAGAATACTTACAGTGAAAAGTAGTCACACACACTGGGATTTAAGAGGCAAAAACCAGTCATCATTATAAGGAAAAAATAATTTCAGTAATACTGATTTTCATTATAGCAAATCCCACTCTATTTCTAACAGTTGTACACTATGTTTCTGTAGAAAAGTGACAGGAGAAAAAAAATGTTTCAGTGCAATATTTGAAGGATGCTACTGATCCCTGAGTTAGCACACAGTCCTTTTGTACTGGCATCAAGTTTTTTCACTTGAGTAACAAAACGCAGTCGTAGCTCTATCAGACACTGCACAGTAACAAACACTGTCAGGATGAAGGTATCACATTTCCATTTGCATCTTTTCCCTTCAGTATTTATTTCTGCAGGAACACAGAGAGTAAGGAAACAAAATGAAGGGAATTAGCACTTCTTTGTACTCTAAGTTTACGAAAAAAGACAAGTGGCTTCTTGATGCCCTGTCAAGTAAGGATTTCTCAGGTAAGGAGATGAGCTCTTACTGTTCTCTAGTTCTTCCACATTTTTGAAGTTACTCCAGCTTAACAGTTAACAACATTTTTTATTTAACAATTAATATACTGAGGATACCAAGCTGCTTCTCGAGCAAAAAAACCCCACGCAGGACACTAAAAAGTAATGAAGAGAATTCAAACTGCATTCCCTTCTAAAGGCAGCAGGGAGAAGAATGTCAGAGAATTTTAAACTCATCCTAGTAGATGAGAGAAATAATACACCACTTATTTTTCTTTAATGAGGGCCTATGATAGGTACAGGCAGTAGCGATGTCAGGCTTCAAAAAAAACCAAACCTGAATCCTAATATATCAAAGTTAAGAAGAATTTACAACCAGTAAAAGGAACCAGTAGTATAAAAAGGCCTTCAGAACAATGAAGGTACTTAAGAATTTTACTCATTTCCAAAACATTTAAGAAGCAGAAGCTTAAGATGTCCCAGATACCTGGGGCAGGGGAAGTTGTTGATTTGCAACTGAATCACAGTACAGGCCAAAAGGTTTTAAGGCACAGTGACGTGGGAAGGCACTGTAATAAATTAATTAAAAGCTATCCAATCCAGGTAATTTGAAGACAGCTTGTTTTTTACTCCTGATATTTTTTCTGCCATTATTTCAATTGCTGTGTTTACTCACCTGTGAACTGTCCAACCTGTTGCTGGTATGGATTCTGTGGTTGATCCTGGTACTGGGGAGGAGGCCGAGTCAGGTGCCGCTGCAGTTGCTGCTCCTGCTGCTGCCGCTGTTTCTCCTAAGAAAGGTCCAATGCAGGACAATTAAAAAACATGTCAAGCTTTTTCCAAGGGCTATCTTGGATAAAAACAAGTGATCTGCACACTTTTATGCTGAGCTGGTAATCAAAAGGGTCTCTGCAGCCTTAGAGTCACTTCAGACCTTTGTTCTCAAGGCTCAAACACAGTCACTTTAATCTGATGAGTGACAAGACCAGGAACTCAGAGACAGCAACATGCACTACAGGAGTTATTGCAGTGTATGTCTGAAGCCCTTTAAACGTTGAAAATCTGAGATGTTAGTCTTTTCATCAGTAATTTTTAGAAATATTCTAAAGGACAAAAACAGGTACACACATAAAAAGAGCAAAAGCCAGTGTGTATAAAAAAAAACAAACACACATGCTTTTTTGCTCTTCATCCCCAAATCAATTTATTTTAGACCTCCCTTTAGAAATCAATAAAAGTGCAAGTCAGAAATATCAACAGTGTAACACAGAAAAGAGTGAACACGTAAATATTTTCTAGTCCTTGCTTGCAAACATGAAAAAATATACACAAACCCAAATTCTGATACACCACAGGTTTTCCTAGAAGATTATGGAAAACTGCAGAACTAAGTCCATAACAGAAGTCATACAAGTTTTGTAATCATTGCTTACAACCACTTTCTTAACAATGCACCAACCAACTGAAACAAAGTCAACTCATGTCACAAAATAACTGTGCCTCTTTAAAAGCACATTCAATCCGTACATATTTTATAATAAAAACATTTGAAAAATAAACCAAGCAAATTTTCTATTAAGAACTTTTGGGAAAAACGAAATTTAAAGTCTCAGGGGAATGTGGATGCACTAATAGTACTCTCAGATAATGACAGGGTTACAGACAACCGGCTACTATTACAATATAAAAGCTACCAGGCACAGTATTTCTGGTTCTTCTTCTGCAGGCACCCTCAGTCAGACTGAAATTCTGAGGTAATCAAGTAGTGATACAATGCACAACCATCTACTTATCCAAAATGTTACACAGAGCACAGAAGGGGGCAGGAATTCCCTTCCAAGAGTACTGGGGTAAAGGATACAAGCACAAAGCCTTTAGAGAAGAGACTGGTGCGATGTAACAAAGGGCAAGATACACATCACTACCACCCTCCCAAAATGTCTACAGCTCTGAAGCTGTTGAGACATGCAGAGGAATGAAGAGGGCAGGCTGCCTGACAGAGAGGACCTGCTGCTTGCAGGACCAGTCAGACCTGAAAGAGGCTGACCACAGAAGCCAACAAGAGATGCCACAGCTCTGAGAGAAACCAAGAACTGTAGAAGCTGGTTTGGGAAAAAAAAATGCAGAATACTAAAGGCAAAGATAGCTTTAGAGTGGCAGGGAATGGCACTGAAGCTACCTGAAACTACAATTCTCCTGTAAAATAGAGATCAACAAATTCAGAAATCTTTCTGTAAAATTATATCCAGTATTGTGTGTATCCAAAGAAAGAAATATCAAATTAGAATGCTAATGAGATCTAGCTTGACAGGGCAGCACAATGCCAATAAATATGGCAAATGCAGTATCTAATGCTCCGAAACAAAACTGCTCCTTATTTGGCATCAAAGTCCCAGCATCACTATACAAAAATGGAAGTTACAGAAGATAGCTGTAGCTACCATAACTAGGGCATGAATGAAGTATTTTCATAATACTGATATTTACTGCAGCAGCATGTGCTGGCCAAACAGAGGCAAAAAGTTAGGGAAAAAACTATTTCATCACTGTGTTTGAGATGTGCTTGACCACCCTGTTACTACACCACCTCACTGTTCAGAGAGGTCTGACACCTGTTAGGTCCATTACTGAGCTGAGGGAAACTACTGGGCCACACCTCTAAGAGTTCTAACAGAGCTCTTCACCATCCACCAGTGATGCAAAAGCACAAGCAGGAGGTCACACCCCATATTTCCTCTCTCCCTACCTACTCTCAAAGAATACTCATTTGTTAACATTTTGGAGAGTAATGATTAGTCATCTTTGACATTTGATACTAACACAGAAGTCAGCAAAGACTGAAGGATCTACCAAAAAGTATTCTAAGTTCAAAGATCACAGCACTTGTACAGAAAATACTATTATATTGATGATTTGGGCATTCTCTGTCTTTCGGTCTTTGATAATGTAATGCCACCACAGTATTCCCTTAGTTCATATTGTTTTAACCCAGATCTCAAAAACATACCTTTACCAACACTCATACACTCAATTATCTATAAACCACTGTCAACCACATTACTATGTTTTATCTATGCTGGCTCCAGAACTGAAGGGGCTTTTCTGTCACCTCAACTGAGTCCTCTATTTTAATGGATATTTCCAGGTGATAAAAAAGCCATTGGCAGGATTTGGCACAGCCACAGCTCCACAATCCTGCAGATTCTACTGCAATCTTCCCCACAAAATGGGCTTTCACATATTTTCAGTTCAGAGAAGACTGTCTTCTCTGTCTTCTTCTTTCTTAAAGCTTTTGATGGACAGTTGATGGAGGGAGAACTTAGAGCACGTTCCAGTACCTAAAGGGGGCTCACAAGAAGGCTGGAGAGGGACTTTTCACAAGGGCAAGTAGTGATAGGACAAGGGGGAATGGCCTTAAGCTGAAGGAGGTTAAATTTAGGTTAGATATTAGGAAGAAATGATTTACTGTAAGAGTGGTGAAGTCCTGGCACAGGTTGCCCAGAGAAGCTGGGACTGCCCCATCCCTTGAAGTGTTTCAAGGTCAAGCTGAATGGGGCTTGGAGCAACCTGGTCTATGGAAGGTGTCCCTGCCCATGGCAAGGGCTTTGGAACTGGATGATCTTCAAGGTCCCTTCCAACCCAAACCATTCTCTGATTCTAAAACATCAAATGCTGTTTCATGCACCAAAGTAAATCAGCACAAATTAAAAAAACAGACTGTTGGCCTCTCTCACCTGTTCTGCCAGTAGATGCTGCTGCCTCTGTTCCATGAGGAATTGCTGCTTCTGTTGCTCCATGAGCAGGTGCTTTTGTTGCTGCTCTCTCTGCTTCTGCTGGTCCATCAGCATTTGGTGTTGCTTCATCACTGCTGCTTGCTGCTGATTGCTGAGATAAGCTGAGTTGCTGTGGTTACCTGCCATGGAGACGTTTGGAGCCTGGGCACCCACACCAGGGCCCGGGACAGAGACGGGAACGCGAGGAACGTTAGGAGAAGGGTTTTGATCCTGCAGAATATAGGAAAAGTGGCAGAGTTACAGAAATGCAACAGCTTCTCCACTTGTGAAGCTTGTTATGGAAGTTCTGCTAATTAAAGACAGCCAAACACCCATCTATACAGTGCCAGACACAGAACTGAGAGTTCAGAGTTACAGTCTGAAGCTCCATAACATCTAGGAATAGAGGTTTTAACTTCTGTCTCACAGTACTTCCCAAATTCCAGCTCACAGGCGAGTGTAGCTCTGTGTGCTTCTGCTCAGCCGGGTATTTCAAAAACGCCAGCTTCAGTTTACTTTAGCAGCAGCTCTTCAAACACTAAATTTTAAAGTTTCATTATATAAAGCATTTATTTAAATCCTGCCTCTTCTGTCAACATTTAACTCAACAAGTGTTTGTTGCCCCTCCTAAAGTTGCTGGTTTTTAGTATCAGAGCATTTACTATTTTCAGGTGAAGGGGAGAAGGTTTTCACTCATCAAAATGGGTCTTAACATATTTTTCCAGCAATCAAACCATCACTATGTTTCACAGACAAAAATACTACTAGAGACAGGCCTGATATTATTAATTTTTCATTAAGTCTGCTATTTTTTTTTTTTGAGGTTGGAACTTGGGAGAACCAAAAATAACATGGAATGATTATCATTCAAGATCTGGTACTATCCTCTTTGTACCAGAAAATACATTTGAAATCTGACAGTTTTCATTGTTTTTAAGCACAGTTCAGCCTCACCTCTAATTACACAAATAAATACCACGTTCAAGTTCAGAATTCAGCTGATGGGTTTGGCTGTTGGTTCTCACTCTGTAGTTTCATAAGAAATCATGAGCCAAATATAAGTAATGTTGTGCTAAGTTGTTCTATGTGCAAGCTTTTGAGAAATTCTCCAGAAGCTTTCATCAGTATTTCTGTTAATTTGGTGCAAGTGTGACAGTGTAGATGCGAGGTCACCCTCATGTTTTCCAGTGAGGGGGAGATGTGACACACAATCGTCTCCACCCTCCTTCTTCTTCCATCAGAATGTTGTAAGACTGTTACTTCTGCCAGCTTTTAAAGAGATTTTTTTGTACTTTATGAACTACACATTGATGTCAAATTTTTATTTGTACATCAGTGTGGTCTTTATCACAGACTAATCATATCTTTTTCACAGCTTTTTTGTTTTGCTGAGAGAACATATGACTAGAGTTGCATCTCCAACAGCTTTTGCTGGAGGAGCTTTAATCCTTGTAACAAAGACCTTTTTCCTCAACAAGCCCCCTTGTGTGTGCATTGCAGGAACACGTTACAGAATCCCAACGAATTTATACTTCCACCCACTACATAAATTTTCACCTGCAGCATACCTGTAGTATCAGTCATATACAAAGCAAAGAAGCACCATCTGGAATTTTCATTTATAGGAAAACCTGAAGCATATGCTTCAAGCAGACAAATATTACTATTATTCATTCTTAATAATATATTTCTCTCCTATCCCATGCTTCCCCAATCCCCAGAGACTTAACCAATAACAAATTCTTGGAACTGAAAAGCCCCAAGGAACACCCAAGAAATCAGGAACGCAGCCCCCACTTCCACCTCTCTTCAAAAGCAGGTCTTTTTATAGCAAGCCAACTCTGACACAAGTAGGGACTGAAAACAAGGTAAAGAAATCAAAGCTTCTTTGAGAACACTGTTCAACACTACAGTTTTACATGAGTTATTTTAGTCAAAAGTTTACAAAGCATCTATTTATCTTTGTAAGTAGAAGCTTCTGTGAAGCACAACATAATTTGTTGCCCACAAAGCATATTAAGCTGGAAATCACACGTTACCACATGACCCAGAACCCAGCATTAAAAACTGCCCCCCATGGAAAACAGACTTCATGATTCTTGTCTCAGCTTATCGTGTATTATGGTTTTCCTCTTTAAAATCAATGAAAACATCTGAAACCATATCAAGTAGTTTGTACCCTACCTATTTAATGACCTTAAATCTGCTACTGAACAAAGGTAACAAACCCCAGGACATTCACCTGACTGTGTGGCAGTCGGTAGGCAATGTTTCCAGGCTTGGGTTTCAACAGGATCATCCCATTTTGGTCGTCGCTCACGTGGGACAGCGGTGCCTGCTGGCGCTGCTGGATGTAGGCCAGCATGGGGGTCTTGTTCTGCCCAGGGACTGCAACCCCCTGCTCACACTCTGCTTTGTAATGGGAAAGAGGTTTGGTGTTCCCATAGTCCAGCATAGAGCCCTGACTATTCACAGGGTTCTGGTTCAAGCTGTTTTGCTGATGACCCAAGATGTTCACATGGTAATTGCCTCCAGCTCTCGGCGAGCTTTTATTTCCCAAATTAGGCATCATGAGTTTCTGATTGTTGAAGTCTGGCTGATAAACTGATGGGCTAGTGGGATTTTCCATGGTATATGGGACAGCCAGCGGACTATGGGAAGGCCCAGACTGTGGCCACGTAGACATCTGATTAGTTTGGTGGACTTGTGAAGCTTGTTGTTGGTTCTGCAACATCTGATCTCTCTTCTGCTTGGCAGCAATCTGCTGAAGTTGATGAGCAGAAGACATTTCTTTGGCACTTCCTGGACCCTTCCCAGGTAACAACACATTGGGGAGAGGCCTCTGGACGTTCTGAGAGTGGTTTGATGCCTGCATCATGGGCTGATTAGGATTTTCAGTCATTGACCGAGTGGAAGGCTGGAACATAGCCTGAGAACTACCGACCGCTGGAGAAGCGGCACTTACAGGTACAGAAGCAGCACCAATAAATGCTGAACCTGAAGAAGTGGATCTAACCTGGGGAGATCCCAGCTGCTCTTGTTCAAAGGGTGCTGGGGAAAACTCAGTCTTTATGTTAATATCTTGTGCCAATGGAGTCTGTGCAGCTGAATTTGAAGAATCTGCATCTTTTTTGTCTTCGAAGTCATCATTAAAGAGATCCTTCATGTCTTCATCAGGCACTGATCTATTAAGCTCCTCAATAAGTTCCTTCCATTCTTGCTCATTTAGATTTAGATCAGGCATCAAGTTATTCTGAGATATAGAACCCCCTGCTCCAGCAATCATACAGGGAAGATCATCTACGGGCTCCTGCTTCAACTCTTTGTTCAAACTCAGAGGAAATGAATCATCAGCATCACCACCTCCATTCATCTGCAGGCTGGAATCTGGAAGACACTTCTTGCTGATGCCATCCAGCCCCATGGGATGTTTCCCGTTAAGTTGTAAGGTATCTCCGTTGCCAGATTTCTTGTCAAGATGATGGAGTGGAGACACAGGGGGCATTCCATTGGAAGAACCGCTCACTCCAAGACCGTCATCGCGACGCAGCTTCTTGGACACAGAAAATACGTCTCCATAGCCATTCTGCTGGTCTCCGTTCTGAGGGGAAGCAGCACTGTCAAGCTTTCTTTTCACAGTCTCATGGAGCTGCTGAAAAAAAAAAAGGAATATTTTAATTATGTAGTTCAATGTTTCACAGATTTGGATTTTTATTTCTCACCAGGACATTGTCTAGCTCTCAATAAGACATTTCAGAAAAAGAAAAAAAAAAGTTTACAGCTTTGCTTTGATAACATTTTGTTTTCCAAAACAGCCTCATGAGATGACTTCCTCACTATAATCTCTTTGGGAAAACTTTCAAAAAACATGCACTACTTCAAACCTAGGCCCCCTCCTTCAGACAAAACTAAAAGCTGCCATATACTCCAAGAAGAAAAAAAGAGTTGAAAAATGGCTGTGAACTGGAATGTGTTATGATTTTTCCTATTCAAAACGAGAAAAATATTGAAGAATGTTCAAAATCAAATTTTAAATAAGAATAAAAGCCTGTATTTTATTTGACCCATGTACACACAGTATAATTGCTCCGTGAGACTGTTTTATAAAGCAATCTCACATTTAAATATTTAGACAAAAAGAGTGATTCTCTTGTGATTATAACTTTTAGAGAAGAACTGTGTATATAAATTTTGTACACAATCACACTTCTGGCACAAAAGCAAAACCAATTTGTCACTTAGCGACCATTGCTTCACACTTGTGGAATACACAACCCGGAGTTCAGCCAGTTCTATCCCGGCAGAGTATGTTTATTCCTTTCCTCTTTTCTCCTGAAGTATTTGCCAGCTGCTCCTCTCTGCACTCCGACCACCAGAGCCCCAACCAGCTCAACAGTTGGTTTTTCACAGCTGGTGAAGGCAGATTCTTTTTCTCGTGGTGCCACCTAGAAGCGACCAGTGGCTACAGCAACGGTTTTACAGCCAGAGCCTGAGTGCCTTTGTTCAACTCCTCTTTTCCTGCCAGCGTTCTTCCAAAGAGAAAGTTCTTTCTATTGACCTCAAAAGCATCTGAAAACACAATTCATGCACACATCAAAGGTAACTGTAAACTTTTCCTTCCCTCGAGTGCATTCTGCTAAAAAAGTTGTGCTTTGCTGGTCCTGGAGCTCTACACCAACGCAGACAAATCTGTAGGGCAGAGACGCTGCTCCAACAGCACAGTGTTTAAAGAGGGAAAAACCCCATCAGCTCCCGACCCTTGGTACAATCTCAGCAGGACACACGAGAGGAATCCCCACCAAGAGCCACCCGTCTGAGGCGTGGGCCACTGAACAACAGCGCTCTTAGATGGCAGAAAAGCAGCTCGTTTAAACAAACCTCAAGACAAGGATGGTTCTTTGAATATTGCCTGCAGTCTTCACAAGGCAGTCCACTAACCCCTGGGGAAAACTGTCTCATCCAAGAAAAAACAGGGGAAACCTCAAGGTCTCAGCACTCAAGCAAGAGGTTGTATGTAGGGCCAGCATAAATTATCAGAAGAATTTTATACACTTGCCTGGGCAACAGCATTCTTTGATTTAAGGACAGAAGGACTGGTTCACAGTTAATTGCTGCTACTTTTTAAACAGTCTACAGTTAGCTGATCTTTGGGGAAAAAAACTCAAAGAACACCATCTGTTTAATGCTTGCATAGGTAACAGCAAATAAACCCATTATTTGTTTAATGCTTGCATAGGTAGTAGCAAAGTCTTATTTTTATCTGTGGGACAGGCTGCAGCTTCCCTGGAGACTGTGATCTTCTAGATGGCTCATGGAAATAGCAGCACAGTAGCAAGATCAGCAAAAGACCAAGTAGGATGAGGTGAGGTGAGATGTACATTTAGAGAGGAGGCTGGAACTCGAAATCTCTTAATTTGAACATCAGGTCTCCAGCTTGGAGTAGCAGCTCTTGAGTGAATGTTTCAAATTCCAACTTGAAAGAATAATGGAAATTTACTTTTTTGTAAAAAGGCAAAACAACAGAGAGCAAGTAAGCTTCAACTCAATCATAAATACAGCTTTCAGTCAGTTTCCCATTGTTTACTTAATACCCCCACCAGGAAAACTGAAGCTCAAGGTGGATGAATAATTTGCCCAAGGTCATATGATGAATCAAATTACTCAAAGTTTGGGAATGGATCCTCCTTAATTCTAAACATTAGGGGGGAAAAATACTCTCTGAAAACTTATATAAAAACAATAACTTTGTTTTGTACAATGGACATATTCTGACATTTCCTGTATTAAAACAGAATAGATGTCAATTTGGGTCACTGCTGTAAATACAATTCATATAGATAAAGCAACTAGGACTTGAATCTGTACTAAGGTCTTTGCTGCTGTACTACACCATTTGCAATATATGCAGCTAACCAGTCTAACATTAAATCACCCATGTTTGTAAGGTACACTCACTGCAGTCTAGAAAAAGATACAGACCCCTAATACCCACCACAGGCTGTTTCTGTCACTAAAAACATGCAGGAGCTTTTATATCTCTGTGGGTTTTAACAGTCATAACACTTACATATCTGATTCCTGGAGACATTGTGACTTTAGTTGCTCGAGACAAAATCCTCCTTTCACCTAAAACTATATATTACTTCGACAAAAAAAAGGAGATAAAGTTCTTCCCCGGTTTGTCTGTGTCTATCCAAATAATCTGGTTTGGACAGGGGGGAAATAACAAGGTGCATGTGAGATACAAGCCAGACTGCAAGCTATCTACATATCAAGCTGCTCCAACAGAGTTCTCAAGGCAAGAAAAACCTGTTCTATTCTGCCAAAACTCAAAAAACCCAACACACTGACAGAGTAAGGCATAGCTTGCTACTCACTAAGAAAATCCCTTCAGATTTCATTTTCTTGCCCATCACCATCCTATAAGACACAGTGGTCCTCTAGTACACTGTCCATGGTTTCCTTAGCACAATCAATCAACTTTATTTATAATACCAAGTCAATCATTTCTGTTGTCATAAGACTGGATACAGAAATGTATTCCTATTTTCTCAGCCTACTCAATTTCCCAACTAAAGATGAACTTCCAAGATCGTTGCTATCTAACTTTGCCTGAAAGTGTTACCCCAAAAGCATTTATCTGAAGCATTTACACCAACACAGGAACAGTGGAAAGCAAAGGATGTGAACAGGTCTCAGTCCTTCAGCCCAGGACAGGACACAGAGTTTGACCAAGAGCCACTGAGGGGCCCCACAGGCTGCTCCTCCTCCACGTCACATCACCTGAGCTGCATTTTATTTGTGTGAGCAAAGCAGACAGTGCTCAATGTGGTCATAAACACACTGAGCTGGCAGGAGCACACGTGCCTCACTGTGGATTCCTCAGGCACAGAACACAAGCTGACAGAACCCAGGTGCCATCCATGGCAACAAGGTGTCCAACACAGCAGCCTCTGACCACGTAACCCACACACTGCACTTGACCAGGACACAGGCTCACAGTGCCAGAGGTGGATGTGTGTCCAGGCAGGTGACAAGGTTTCCATCCAAAAACAGACAGCACACGAAGAATTTTGATACGTCCAACCTCTGTCTTAAACCCTCTGGTTTTACGACAATGATGCTCAGTCCTACTGTGGTCTTACTGCAGGGGCAGTTGAATGACTTTATAAAAGCTGTCCAGAACTACTACTGAAGCCCAGCAAGAAACTGGAAAAGCTTTAAAACTTCACCTACAGCTTTTCTGTTAGGACTGGCAGAGTGCAAAACTTCAGAGTCCAGGGCAGTGCTCTCTTACTGTCTTGGTGGGAAGAGGCATGAATCACTGATCAAAACAGTGGCACAAAGTTGCTCTGGTTGGCTTTGTTGTTTGTTTTGTTCAGGTTTTTTGTTTAGTGTTGCCTATTTTGATGTGGACTCAATACCTAAAGACAGTCAACCAAAGTTCATTTGCAAAAATCCAGTAATTTACTATACTTTGAGTTCGGTACTCTGAAGACAGTATATATATATATACAAACCAGAAACTGATACAAGTTCCATTTCTTCTAAACAAAAACAAAGAAACAAAAAACAAAAAGCCCAAAACAACAAAAAACCTCACACCTAGTGAACATGGCAGAAATGAAAGTTTTAAAAAACCTGGTTCTCACACTGTGCCTTTTAGGCTCTGTATAATGTTCTTATTTTGTTTTTTGAAGCATCTGTTACAGAGATTAAAATATTCTTACAGGACTCGGTAGAGCTTTAATTTTCTGTATTTTCTTTGGAATTAGTTTACCATCTCAGCTTTAGAACTAAGTCTACAAGGATTTATCATTAAATATCAGCAAGAGAAATATAATGGCATTTTCAAAGAAGAAATGCCTTATTACCCTAAAAATATAATAATAAACCAGCTCCAAGATGCCTCCTAGCTAGATACCAGCATTCTCACCTAGAAGGGGAAACAAAAATAGAATACATGCATTTTTCTGCCATGAAAGTGGCAGTACTGCAGCACATACAAACTCCCACAAACCAGACTTTTGTAGGTCCTCTACAAACACTGATTCTCCTCTCCTGCCTGGCCAAGGACAGGAGCAACAAAGATGCAAAGATGACAACCATTTAGACTGGAACAACAATGCAAATACCAGAAATTGTAGTGTATGAATTTTGGATAGAAAACACAACATTTTGACTACACAACATAGTAAGAACTCCTCATTTACTGTGCATCTACCCACAGATTCCAAAGCTGCATTCCCCCTTGCAAGGAAAGCATTTTATTACCCAACGTGTTCCTGCATTCCACTGTGCTGTCAGACCCAAACTGCTGGACTCATTTTAATTTTTTACTTTAATTCCAGAAGACTTTTGTATTTGGGTGACTGCCTGCTGGAGTGAAGAAGGGCTGTGGATAGGCACATCTATAAATATCCCAAGCCTGCATTAGTCACAAGGGGCAGCTTCTGCTACAGGAATTGTTCTGCTGAATCAAAAAAACTGCTGTGCCCTCAGCTGCAGTGCTGGATCCTCCACCTCACTTGAACTTAAACAGCAGCAGATCAGTCACTCCCAGATCCTTACAACTTAGGAAGCATCACTGCATATCTAACGAATCTAGTGAGGGAAATGTTTCAAACATACAACAATACCTCACAGAGAATTAAAAGGAGACAAAGAAAAACCTGTCTGAGTTGTTGGGCAACAAACCATCAGACTTGTCAGCAAAAACAAACAGTGGTGGCAAGACTACACTGCACTATAGTTATGTATAAATAACATGTAAATAATTTGCTATTTTTGTGGTAAAACGTAACTTCACAATTTAACAACCCTATGCCACTGCTTACACAAAAATGAGATCTTCTGAACTGTTGGATGAAGCCTGATCTTCGTTAGAGGAGTGCCATTAATGCTTGTCAGAACACTCCAGGCAATCTATTCCCTTTAATTCATTACTTCAGGTCTTTCAACCAAGAAACACTGCATTGTTCTTCTAAGCCTTAAATTTTCTTTTAAACTTTTTACTTGGTGCCCTTTCTTAATTTAGAACTTATCTATTATTAATGTAAAAACTTCTATTGCTCCCAAATAAATGCTGGTCTGCTCTTCAGCTTTAACACAGAGCACTCCCAAGACAGGCCACTGACTAGACCTTTCCTGCTCATTCCAGAAATACTGTTTGTGGTTTTGTGGCAGCTCTAGACAAAGCAAGCTCTCTGCACAACAACTGCTCTCAGGTGGGGAAAAAAAACTAGTAAGAAATAGGGAGCAGCTCTCCTTCCAAGACACCACATCATAAAACAAGGAGTGGAGATGAAAATACAAATCTTGCCATCCTCCCCATTCACATGTCAGTGAAGTGCCTTCTGCTCAGCTCAGCCATAAACTGCCTTATAGTTTCTTACAGAAATACGAGGAAGCCAACCTTTCTCCTCCGGAGAATTTAAACAGCATTAGTAGAATGAACTTTCATGTATCAGAACCTGGCAAAGAGAAAAAAAGTGTTCTAGGAGACAAGCCCCATCTCTTCCCAACTTCCCTGTTTCTCAAAAATGTTAAGATTAACACAACAAACATTATCCAAACAAGTACCTACTTTGAACACAGCTTTAATGCCATCTTAAACAATAGAAATGTGAAGTAGATGTTTTTAAAAAGTAGGAAGATAATTAGTTTTTCAACATTTCCTCAAATGAAGGACAGGCCTATATGGTGCACAAATAATCCAAGGTATTTCTGTATCAATACTGTATTCTCTCAGTTGCTGTAGCTCAACTTTTAGAACTGCTAAGTAAGAAAACAAGGAAGAATCTACCCCTTACTTTTGCTTGTAAGCAAGATCCATCCAACTTCAGGAATTAAACTAGAGAAAAGACTAATGGAAGAGAAAATATTTGATTTTGTTTACTTGACAAATCACACAAGACACTAAGGAGGATGTGTTGGTGCTACCCTGTTCCCTGTGACTATTCTGGATTTACAGAAGGTGCTCTGCAGTGCAGCCCCTGGGAGTGCCCACACTGCTCACACTCGAGGCAGTGCAGCTCCACATCCTACTGCTACAAGCCCTCTGATGCTACATCACAAACCCTTCACCTTTACATGGACTGCTCTCTCATTCAAGGACCAAAATAAAGGATTCATTAACTTTCAACACAGAGTCAAAATTTCCAAAAGAAGATTCATATGCAGCTTCATAGAAAACTCTGGATCTTTACAGCAGCAATAGCTGATATAATGCATGGTTCACTGATCTAGCGGCATTCTTTGGAAAGGAATGTGTCCAGGGTGTTTTAAAACAAGGTAATTTTAGTGTTCATCCAAACTTTGTGGAACACTGTAAACCAAACCAATGTTCTTGCCATTCAAAGCACATGCTTTTTCTTGATAACTGCAACATGATGGCTAGAGGTAAAATACTAACCTAGAGAGGCACCTCTTGGGCCAAAGCAATTAAACTAGCAGCAGAAGTTTGTTGTTGTTGTTGTGCTTTTTTCCCAAGACTTGAATTACTAAGCAAACCAACTTTATACCCCAGTAACGAGGTGATGAATCAACAGCTGCAATTAAGCTTGCAGTCATGGATCCTGGGAAGGAAACAGCAGGCCAGCCCGAGGAAGAGTCATTCATACACTAAAACCCTCTTCTGTTGTGTAAATTGGCCACTGGCAGCAGCTTCCTGTACAAGGGCTTCCCCAGATGTGCAGCGCACTTCAGAACCTGCTGCTGTTGAGAGCCCTCATTATAATGGATGCTAATTAGATCAAATCCACATCCACAGCGATTTAAGAGAAACAACACCAATGAATTAGTGACATCTTTCTTTAGAAGGTCAATATGAAGACGTGTGGTGGCAGTTTAAACGACAGGATTTGACATGCTAAAGAGCTCTGTGTGTAACAAAAATACACATTATTAGTGGGTAAAGCCCCATACGCAAAAAGCCTTAGAGCCCATCAGGAAATAAACAGAACTGCCAAGTCTTTAGATAATAAAATACCAGTTTGAGTCATTTTTGTTCTTACACGAGTTTATGTTCAAGATCAGTCTGTTAAACAACGGCTAACTGTAAAGTTTTACAGAATCAGTGTCAGGAAT